CTGTATGCAGTGTCAGATCGAACTGCGGCCTGAACACAATCCGGGCCTGCATCGCTCCCGGCTCAATCATCATCTCCGATATGTGGGCATCATACCAAGGAATTGAAACGATGATTGACATGAATCATACTCATGAAACGGTTAATCATACCGAAAAACTTGTGGATCCAACGACTGGAGCTCACACACAAACCATCGAATCGCTTTGGTAAGTCTACAAGATGCAGAATAAACGCCAATGTGGCACACACCAATCTTCAGTGGACAGCTAGTTTTGTGAGTTCGTTTGGAGGCAAAGGTACCGAAATTATTAATGACACGTCTCAATTTCACCCTCTTCAATAAAACCTAAAAGTACAAATTTCACATCCACTTTTTTCGAATCGCTTTTGGGTGGCGGGGGTTAATTTTTTTGGCGATGCTTATCTGGAAAAGATCCCAGATTTGAGACCTTGTCACATTTTGACACGATAAAGCAAGCCTTGACGCGGGTCGAAGTCGAGATTCACGATGTGATTTCATTGGTAGACATGTTTGTTGGAGAACAAGGACTCTTTGCTTGTCCGTCGAAACAGATTGAGGAGAAATCGGCTAACAGGTGGGCATGGAGGTTCCTCACAATGAGTTATCAGCGACAAAATGTAACTGAAATTGTCGCATTCTAACCGTGTGGTTGTCAGTGCGCGTAGAATCATTAGTCAAAACAGGGAGTGGAAATCCGAACCCGACCAAAGGTCACATAATCCCTCTTCCCCATACAACTATCGTAGCACTAGCTAATCCACACAGACAGACGAAAAGTGCAAACGATGTTCACGTGAACCAGGAGCACTAGACCCTAGGCTGGACTCAAATCCATATAGATTTCCCCGTCAGTTAAACACTTGGTGACCGACCCTAACCCGACACCTAGCACAGACTTAGCTTGACTTGGCTGGTTGCTTGGTTCTCCTTCCGCCTCAAAGCTCAACCAACCTCGTAACCTAGTCACACTTGGCCTGATGAAGCTCTAGTGTCAAAAGCGAAACGTTGCTCAGCAATCGGTCCACCGACTGTTACCAAACTTTTCCGGATACGATGACTACTCAATCGGTTCGAGGCGCACAAGAAACCTGATAGGTGATTGTTCCTCCCTGTGCTGGAAATGGAATCTACATAAAGACACAATATGAATTCTGAAGCTTCTTGCATCGTGTGCCATTCCAATAGTATTCTCCGATGCCTAGTAACGCCTGGTTCAGGCTCGCTAATCTGCAATATCTTATTCCTCAAGCTATAAATCATGATGTTCACGGTTAACCCCAAAAACATCTTTGGTGTAGAGTGTGACGCACATGGTTTGAAATCTGGGACCAGCGAGCAGTTAGTGACCACCGTATGCACCAGTTGTCTTGTGGCCAGACTTCCTCAAGGCACTACTTGACACATGACTGGTTTCAAAAATTCGCCATCTAAACGCCGTAAGTGAGTGTAATTTAATTCACTCTGAGTACCTCAGAATCAAGGGATTTGGAATGGTGTAGAAACTGTGTCTTCTATTACAAAACATGAGTTCAGGTTAACTCTGAGCAGAAGTCAATTTCTGCTGACCCCTTAAAGTCAAGTTCAGTGATGAGTTCTCTTCCAGGAGAGACACTTCGAAAAAGATACCATTTTTGTCCGCCCCTGAGGACATCTCTCTAACAAGGTAGACAAAAGTACAAAACGAAAACATTTGGGTTTCTCTTCATTCTTTTTTGTTTGTGACGTAACAACGTGCTGTCAGCAAGAGGTACACGAACGCACGATAAGGTAACACAACTGGTTAGCCAAGTTTGGTTTACGTCATCACCCCACTGTGTTTCATCTGCCATTCAGTGTCCTTTCAGTGATTCACAAGAGTGGCGACCATTCATGACAGTTGCCATGTCTCTACCTGCATAGCGCTGTTCAGTCGAGCGGTTCTGGCAAAGTATCTCAGTAGTGTTGAGGCTGAGGTCACGGGCATTGTGGCCAGCAAGAGGGGCACAACTCAGTTGTCAGGAGCCAGGCTCGTCGGTATCGCCCATTACGTCTCCAAAAAAAGTTGATAGCAATTTACTGTAGCAACAAAATCGGTTGCAACATTTCATCTGGTTTGAGCCCGTTGGACTAAAGTTCTTCTTGTCCAGCCTCTTCTTTGGTTCGGAATATCAACTCTTGTCTGCTTGCCAGTACTGCGTGAGTGGCTTGGTGGCTTGGGTGTTTGATATGTGAGGACAAAATGGAATCTCCGCGATCGATTCCATTGTAATCGAATTTGGGACTCGCTTTCTCTGTACTATTGCGCTGGACTGGTAAACGTAGCAGACATGAGTGGCGACAGCTAGAATAGTTCATGATCAGAATGCCTGGGGACAGATTCTTCTACATAAGTTCAGGATTAGCGCCCATGAGGTCAGAATGTACTTCAAAGACGATATTTGCGACAGCTGGGTGGAAAACGATACGGAAACTGTGGCGTGTTTGGCCGCAATGCATTTCGTGAAGGAGCACGGCATATAGGGCAGCAAATCATCGCGCATGGGTAAGGAGATCACCAGTTAGTGAACCATCCAGTAGTTGTACACTGACTGGTTAGATGCCGAATAATCATAGACCAAGCGATCAATACCAAACTGACGAATCGGTAAACGCTCCCAAACGTGATTGGCTAGTTCGCTGCGTGACCCGTATGGCGTGTGTTAGCACGCGTGGGCATGTGTGTGTGCGCGCATAAAGATCAAGGTCTCTGGTGCCATTTTTGATGGCCAACTGGCAGCGCCGTTTGACAGTAGCCAATCTCTGGTGGCATTTTTGACGACCAACTGGCAGCGCCGTTTGACAGTAGCCATGACAAAAACTTTTTTGTTACCAAAGTTTAGCAACTTACTGACACCGTCTCACTCAGTCATTAAACGACCGTTTGGACGAGGAATTCTAACTACAAGGAAATAGTGAGAGTTCTAAGATATCAAGTTTTTAATCAGATAATTTCTCGGACGACCGTCATCATCATGCTTAACACTTTAACCAACCCCCCCTTTGTTCTCACGTAAACAGGTACGCCATCCTCACAGTCCAACTGTCGAAGAGTAGATATTGTCTAAAAATGTGTAGATATTGGCAAAAACACTGCTACATAGGTCTTTCCAAAAATTAATGGCACTGTAGAATTCTAGCTGCTAACCTAACGCGCAGACTGAGTTGGTTTTGATTTTTTGCATTTTAATTCCACCGAATACACGTGGTTTCAGCTTTTTTCACCACTCAACCAGTTGATCGACCAACACTTGCAGGAGAACTACTGGAAAGTTGTTCGGAGCGTCGGGCAAATCAAGTACAACGTACAAGCGTGAACAATTTCGCCTGTTCGAACGTAGTAATTCAGATGTGTCCAGAGTGTGGTAACACGCTCACCTTGCATGCCAAATGTCAGGGCTTGAAGCTTCGACACACCCAAGGATGTTCACTGCTGATCAGCTTTAGAAGAAGTGAAACTCAAGGTTACTGCTTCTCCCCCTCTGTACGACTAAGCCACTGGATTGATAAGTGAGAACATCTCAAGGGATTGATGGGCAAGGATGGTATGAACGAGACTCACCAGTTCTTAACGTGGCGGAACCAATGAGTCAAACTCTCGTGTTTCAAGGTCCCGAACGAATTTGACGGCTTGTCCTTGAAAAAAGTTCGGGTAATCTGTCTGTTTTCACTAGCAATAAGGGTCATTTCATCAAGCCTTGAGGTTCGTAAAAGTCAGGCAAACTGTCAGACGGTTATAGCTGTGCTTTGCTTAAGGAAGTATTAAGTATCCATTGAGTTAATCACTCAATAGATTGAATATAGTCCAGTATTCATACACGTTAATGAGAAATGCACGTCCCTTTTTTAATTGATTGCCGGGTCGGGAATACTTACGGCATCTATGTCAGAAAACTTCCCCGTAAGTGTAAGAAGGCCAGAGACAGATCACCATTGTAAAAAATCTTTGAGCATCCGAGGAGTTTATTCATGAGAAATGATGCTTCAGGTGAGCGGCATGGTATTCGGCCTGCATGCCACACACTTTCGAGATGTCCAGACGCTCCTATGAACCGGTACACCTCTTCACTCGACCGTAGAGTAGAGCCTTGAATGTACTGAGGTAATGCAGCACGTGAGCGGTGGTTAGACTGCGTGGAATTGTGACGGAGAGCGCCATCTGTCCTCGATAACATACACCATCAGTCTTCTCTTCAAACCTTTGTTTGAAATTTATGGAACAGTAGCAGTTTATTGGTGATTTCTTCCTGTAAAAGAAATCAATATCCCTTGAGAAGCACTGTACAGCTGTTTCATCTTTACTCGGAATCATCAATAGTGCATATTCCACTAAATCCCAAGTAGTCTTGGACCCGCGACCTCTCCGCTAGCCGTTTGAATACTCAACCATTCGGACACAGGCGCCTGATCAGCATTGTGGTTAGCCCACACCGTGCCTTCGACCGCTGAGTCCACGTCACATGGTCACGTGTGTTGACTGGATCCCCAAATGACTTCTCAGATGGAAGTCACACCTATCGGATGAACCATGGGTTCGAGACTCCATGGAGTTTCGTGACATGCGCATTGCTGATAATTTCCAATAAGGATGAACCATCTGTACATTGCTTCTAGTTTTTTCAGCATGGATTGGCTCCACTTGCAGGATAAATTCCCCACCGAAAGTTCCTAAATCTCACACTACCAGTGTAACGGTGATACTGCTGATGGGGAGGCACGCGAGTAGTTTGCGTTGTTCGTGGAATTTCGCTATGCGTCTTTCGAAAAGAGGAGATCTGTTGCGGAATTCGTGGAGCCACTTTGTAACATTTGCTTGGATTTGAGCGAGGAAAGATTGGAGTCAATGAATCTCCAGGAAAGCTCAAGAAGACGCGTTCAGGAGAAGATAGATGTCCAGTTTTTGTAAATAAGATGAAAATTAGAGTTTTGCTTTCCTGTTCAATGGTCTGTAACCGGTCAGTTGGCATTTCCTAATAAATAACTCCGCAGCGAAGGCCTTCTTCCTTTCACCAATTACCATTTTCTGGTGGATGCCGAGAGGATGAACAAAGAAAACAAAGAGGAGTTTTTAAAAATGATATGATAGAACCGATCATTTGCGGGAAACGTACCTGCAGGACAGATGCACATCGGACTGGTGCCTCGATCGATGCATTTGCCTCCATTCTGACAAACATTTGGTTCACACAAATCTGCCTTGACATCACAGTAGCGCCCGTGGTATCCGGGTCCACAGGTACAATTGAAATCAATAACAAGCGGGCTGAGAACACCGTTTACCATTCGTTCTGATCGCACAACGGAACAAATTGCGCCTGGTCCGACGCACGGATTTTCTGGATAGCATGGATTTTGTTCCTTCAGAAGAAAAGACACTTGCCTTCAAGAAACCATACATAAAAGACTTGTAAACGTGAATTAAAACAGGGCATGGTAAAAATCAACAACTTGCCTCGCTTTTTTAGTTTGTGAAAATTAAGCGAATCATGGAAGGGAAACTGGGAACATGAACGTCGCCATTAAAAGGAGACACGTGATTGGCCAGCCGAGTAGAAGGTCAAACGGTTGGTCCTGATTGGTTGGTATTGGGCCATTCCAAAATGTTGATCACTTCCAACTTGTATTGGATGGCAATTTAGACTATGGTAAATCCCTGAGGGCAACTCTTCACGATAACTCAGACAACCAGCAACTTATTCTAACGGGAATCTGTCCACAGAGGACACTCAGTATCGAGCAATTTGGTTAGCCAATCAGAAGACGAGTCAGTTGATGGCTTCATGTTTGGATCCAGGTACTGAGTTTTAGATACCAAAACTTCCCCCTCAACGTGCATGCTGATATGGAAATTTTTTTTCATAAGTAGTCAACTGAAAATCTCTGGATACCGTTTTAACTTTATCGTTGTTTTGCACATGAATTCCAGAAGGTATTAGAGCCGTGAGAGGAGAGATATCGGTTTATACGGAATCTGTATCGGTCTTTTCTGTGATAATCTCCAGGAAAATACGAGTGCGTGATGGAATACACGTATGTCACTATTCACTTTTCACTAAACATCACATCATTTGGACGGATGTGTCACGTGCAGGACACGGGCCAAACGAGTACATGCCCTGATTGGTCAGAATGCCAGCCAATCCGAGTCAAGCGCCTGTGACTCGACGCCTCTGCCCCCCTTAGGGAGATTCTGGCACGACCTTGTGTAACACTCTGTGACTACCCTATAAATACAGTTGTAATAATTTTGCTTTTGTCTCCGTAAAAGGGCTGTGTAGAGCTACCGTGCCTTTTGATATACCATTGTGGGCGGAGCAGGAAGCCAAGAGACCGATACAGAGTTGCACGATCGTCCATCAAGACATAACACACCTGCAGTCGTATGAATGAAGGGACCACACTCAAGTCTCAGCATAGTCAGCAGAGACATTTGGAGCCAAGCTAATAGGGTCCGCTGAAGACTGGCGTTTCCAAAGAGTGAAAACAAACAGACATTCTGATCTGGGAGCTCTGTAGTAGTTCGGGTTCACAGAGAAGCCTCGGCGAATGATCTTGAGGACCCACGATAAAAGTTTCAACGCTTTGCACAGCGTGTTAGTGAAGGATAAAATCCTTAGTGATCCCGGATTTTCAGATAAATCTACCTGCAGGAAGCTTCGGAACTAGAATTTGAGTAGTGCTTCCAAAAAGTGAACTCAAGTGGTAGAAGAAACGGATGTACTGCAGATAAGCCCCGCCACTAATGCGAAAAGTGCATGTGCGAAAAGTTAAGCCCCGCCTTACTTTTTGCCAGCTCCAATTTAATGTACGCAAAAAACCTTGACCTATTTTTGATGAAAACACAATTCCCTATCCGCATCTAGTCTCATTTTGTGCAAACATCTCCGTTCGGACGTAAAACCTCTGACGGGTGGATGTGTAATGCCTCACAGTGTCGGCAAGAAATCGGTCTTCGAAAGGGAACTTGGCTGGAGCGGTCTAGAATGGAGTTTAGGACAGTAATTCTATTCATTTATTGCTGATCCAAAAATTATCTATTAACCACGCGACCGCTGCTGACTGGACGAACTTTCTTCGCGAAGTTTGCCGCTAGCGGCTTTTGCAGACTCCAACAGTTATCGGCGACCCAGGTCTACACGTCGAGATCGATGAAACGCTAATATATCGCCGTAAAACCACGCAAGGCGAGTCCTTCCCCTGCAGTGGATTTTCGGATTATACTCGTGAAACGGTTAATCACACCGGAAAATCTGTGGATCCAACGACCATCGAATCTGTTTGGCACGTCTGCAAGATGCAGAATGGACGCCAATGCGGCACACACCGATCTTCAGTGGACAGCTACTTTTGTGGGTTCGCTTGGAGGCAAAGGTAACGAAAAACAGACCTTTTCATGCGAATTCTCAATGACATGTCCCAATTTCACCCTCTTCAATAAAGTCTAAAAGTACAGATTTCGTGTCATCTTTTTTGGGTGGCGGGGGTTAAATTTTTGGCGGGGCTTATCTGGAAAAGATACGAAGAACTTACACACCTATACCTACGGAACTACACTGAATCCCGATTACGAACGGGGAACTTCCACAAGTCTCCTGGGTCTTCCATCTGTCACGCGAGACGCCAGTAAACCCCGGATCATCTGAAGTGAAGGGAGGTTAGTCAATCACACTCACCATCAGCCAGTCGCGACAGAATGGCGTGGTGCCCAACTACCACCCCGAGGATTGCAGGTTCGAATGTTCTCGAACATTCGTGAACTGCCAATGCTTCTCAACAGAGACAAGATGGTCACAGCGCTGAATGACAATTCATTGTAGGATGAAATCTCATGTGGTCTTTCAAAGTCTTCTGAATTCCGCCGCATGAAAACAGTATTTTTGAGGGTAAACATATGTCCATCACAGCCTATGAGTTTCGCCAGAGAGTCATCTCGTGATGAAAGCTCTTTCGCAGACATGTTTTTGAAAAACCAGATATTTGCCATGAAAACATTCCACTACAATCAGTGCTTGTTAACCATATCAGACGTTTCGTGGTTGAGTATTAGTCACTTTTGAAGAACTTACATACCTATACCTACGGAACTACACTGAATCCCGATTACGAACGGGGAACTTCCACAAGTCTCCTGGGTCTTCCATCTGTCACGCGAGACGCCAGTAAACCCCGGATCATCTGAAGTGAAGGGAGGTTAGTCAATCACACTCACCATCAGCCAGTCGCGACAGAATGGCGTGGTGCCCAACTACCACCCCAAGGATTGCAGGTTCGAATGTTCTCGAACATTCGTGAACTGCCAATGCTTCTCAACAGAGACAAGATGGTCACAGCGCTGAATGACAATTCATTGTAGGATGAAATCTCATGTGGTCTTTCAAAGTCTTCTGAATTCCGCCGCATGAAAACAGTATTTTTGAGGGTAAACATATGTCCATCACAGCCTATGAGTTTCGCCAGAGAGTCATCTCGTGATGAAAGCTCTTTCGCAGACATGTTTTTGAAAAACCAGATATTTGCCATGAAAACATTCCACTACAATCAGTGCTTGTTAACCATATCAGACGTTTCGTGGTTGAGTATTAGTCACTTTTCCGGGTCAAACTCATTTGTTCACATAAACGAGCAAGCCTTGAAAAATAATTAGTGATCTGATCGATCTATGATCAACACTCACAGCAGTGAACTCATGCAATTAGACCAATCGAAAGAACGCTCACAAAAAATCCATCACCCAGTCTGCGAAAGTTTCACACCAACTGAAACGAGACAAAATGCTACCTGTCAGTTACGTAGTTGCAAGATCAGCATAAACAATACCCTAACACCTCGACAACGAAATCAAACTGAGCTGGTACTTATAGTCAGCGAACACTGCTCACTCACCATTTCGCACCGTAGACCATGATACCAAGGCGAACAGTGACAGGTGAAACGCCCCAAGATATCAACCTGACACCGAGCTCCATGTTCGCACGGTTCCGCTATGCATGGATCGACAAATTCACAGCGTCGACCTTAAAAATGAGAACGATATCACAGTGTCACGTCATGTGAACAGCAAGAGACGTGGGGTGCATAGACTTCACTTTTATACTGTGTATTCAACGACAGCACATCAAGGGAGGGGGCCACCGGTGATATTGGAAGTACCGTGAAGCGTTCCGGTCGAACAGCAGAATCGTGGACAGACGTAAACTCTAAGAGATGCTCGCTTCCATAAACAAATCTTCATCGCGGTAGGTTTCGCATGCCTAACCCTCCCCCTTTTTCTAGGTCACTCGAAAAGATTGAAGTAATGAAATGTCACACAGACAGGACGTTTCAAGTTTGACTAGAAAGTTGTTCGGTCGGCGAATTGTCGGAACACACTACTGCCCACTCGTTGTTTGTTTGTAAATATCCACGAAGGATTGTGGAACGACGTGTGAAAAGCGTTTGCACAGGTGAAGGCGGCCACCCCTCATATCTCTGTTCAGATACCTACTTCATTTCTACTTTCCAAACATTGTTCTGTGATGATTACTTCGTGTACCGTAGTCCGCTGCCGAGGGATTCGCTTTCTCTGAAATTCACGCGCGCGGAGCTCCTAGTTCCTAGCGGAGTGGTCCGGGCCCTTTGTTCTTCGATACCGGCCCGAAAAAGAGACGAAACGTATTACAAATTGCCCAGACATGAGCGTTAGAACCCCGAGTGTTGAGCACGTTTTGGCCACAAAATTCTAATCAATTTATATTTCGAATTCCGTCCAAATGCTCAGAGATTCAGACCGTCAAACAATCTTGGGGCGTCGATGTAGAAAACATGGGTCCAAATATCTGAACACAAAAACGGTAGATGACCAAAGTGATTTGACGATTAAAAGCATCCGATCAGAACTGCGTGTAAAGTTTCATTTCAAATTCTTTCTGAATTTTTATACGTTTGATTAAATTTTCGCTTCCGGATAATTTAGCAAAATAAATTCGGTTATTGTATCATGCCTGGAGGTAACGAAGGAACAACGAATACGGTACTATCCGGCTCTGTCAACCCAAGCCTTCCAACTATTGTATAGTTGAGAATACGGCGAAATGGATTTATGTCAGAAACCATAGGGTTCAACGAACCTTGCTGGACAAGCCAACGTTGAGCAATCCCTAGGGGACTTACTGTACAAAGCGGACGCGCGCTGGTGCTCGAGGGTACCGGCACCAATGCATAACATGGGGTAAAACGATCCCCACTATAAGTAAAGTCGGAACCTTGGTACCGTACCTGGTAAGAGTAATTTGTTTGCTTCCACTAGACTGGCGCTTGCTAAAAGCACACATGCGACCTCACATGTTTGCCTCTGGATAAGCATTCTCTTACTGCGATCTGGTTCGGGAACGGGGCTGGCTTCTAAGAACGCGGAACCACTTCTCAGCCCCAAGTTACAGAGCATTATTCACATGTGGGCAGTCTACTTAAATGGGAATCAGTAGTGCTATGTATGAGCCCGGAAAAAAGTAGTCTATGGGTACATTTCTCTGAATCAAAGAGGATCGCTGTCACAGTGAAAAGTAGTTCATCACTAGCACACAGTACCGCTTCATTGGCAAGTCTCTTTTGTGGGCTATAGGTGTAGACAGAAGAACAGCGGAAGATTCATTCACAGCCCCTAACAATGAGTCCTGGATATTGGACGACAATAGCTGTTTGAGGCTAGTAGAGTAGTTCCACTTCTTAAAGGAAACTACTCACAAGGTTGCTGAAAATGCGTCTACAGCCCACGACCGGTTTCGCCCTTCCAGTTCTGGCTCAAAAGGTAGGTGCAGTCCCCCAGTTTCCGTCAACCTTATGTTCTACACCTGGTAATTCGTGTTCCAGTGGGAACTGAGGCAGACAGAGCCTCTGAGAAAATCTCTACCTGAGGTCTTCCTAGCATTGGATTGCCAAAGGTTCTTCAGTAAGACTGTAGAAGTACTCGTTGGGTCAAATAAATGCTTCAAAGCCTTGAACACCCTTCTTTGGGCGACATGCTTGGTGATAAGTTATCGGAAACAAACGATTCAGTTGAAAATCAGCTGACTCACCTGTTAACACCAAGTTAGCTCGTTTGCCGGGTGAGCACGCGAATGTGTTCACGCTTAAGCAATGTAATCGGTTTGCCCGATGTCTCGAAAGGTGAAAATTCAAGTGCTTCCGGAGTGCGCTGAAAGCACACTGACCTCGCATGTAAGATGACCCGAAGTTAAACCTTTGGGGAGGATATACACTGCTTATAAACGCTAATAAGAGTGAAACTCGAGTTCATTGTTCCCCCACCTCGGTTTGCTGTGAGATCTCGAGAATAATTGTACCAGGGCAAGAAAAGAACTGTTCAACCGAGAGCAGTGTAGAAGTAAACCCTACAAATCCCGCGACGATTCACGGATCATCTGCTTCCTGCAGCTACCTACATGACACTCATTCCGTCCGATTGAGTCCAGTGTATGTGAGTAAGTAGTATGTGGCTTGAGCAGCCATACAGAACACCTCCCCAAAGTCGATGCCTCCTCACCTACCCACATAAACACACTATATGCACAATGATTTTGTCAGCTACTCGCTGGAAATTCGCATTGGCATTTCACTCGGTTGCCTGTGTAACATGTGTTTTGCATCGATAAAAACCTGAAAAAAGTCACCTTTACCGAGAGAATGATCGGGCATGGACCATTATATAAGGAATGTTTGCCGTGATACCCGAGTGACCCATTGAACAGCCCATAATGGCATTCCGTCTACGACTGCGAAAGTTTTGCAGTCAAACTAACCCGTTTTCTTTTGTCCACATCTGATCGAGTCCGCTGGCGATCAATAGAAAAATCAATTTTACCACAGTGGGCTGCGTGAATGAAACAGAAATGTTGATTAATAAATAGTTGCTGGTTACAAAGAAGTTCAGAAAAGACCCTTGCCAAACAAACTTGCTTCCGATGCACTTTGTCTGAGCTGTCGTGAGAAGAAACAAATTTTGTGCCAAGGTCACTATTGTTTACGTTTTACCTTCCGGTAGAGTGATTCATACTGTGTCGGTTCTAACGTGTGATGCTCCACAATGAAACGCAGTAATTGTTGAAGCTCTAACCAGTGAAATAGTATCTTCATGCCGAGCGAAATTTACGAAAGGCGATGATAATGGATACGGAAAAATTAGCGGAGATGTAAATTTGTTGTGCTTGTGGGCATTTTCATTCTGCATCACAAGTGTGTATGGCAACACTGTGGATTATTGATTCTTCAAAGCTCATCATCATCATCATCAATCAGCGGGACAGGGGAAGCATAATTTCACAAGATGAGTGGAACTCCCGAGAAGTGGTTACTCGTGGAGCCAGTCGATATGTGACCACGTGACCTGCTATCGAATGGAGCGATGTCTTGTCTAAGTGAGAGGTGATCACTTGCGGATCAGCCAATCGCAGCCGAACGGTTGAGTGTTCAACCATTGGCCTGGGAATCGCGAGTTCGAAACTTTCTGAGTTTCGTGTACAGTGTTTCACGGCTTTTCAGCTGACTGGACGAAGTCGCTGACGAAAATATGTAACAGTCAGCACGTATGGAGCAGATTGGGTCAAGCGCACTGAGTATATGTCCATCAAAAAGTTGATTGTGGTCTACTCGTTCGAATAAAACACAGTAAGCTTGAAGTGAACTTGAAGAGATGAACTGCATAACGGGGCTCCTTTAAATTAGAATGTCAGTAACGACCGATTATATCGCTTCACATTGACAGCATCAGAATACGCTAAGTTTTGTACTTCGTAACTTGTTTTGGTCCTTTGTTAGTTTACATCTATGGGTTAAATACGATCAGACACTGACGTAGACCGTCCGTTTGTTTAGCTGTACATAGTCCCATGCGAAAAGTTGTCTCCACGTATCACATGCAGAAGAATTAGCCACTCGGCCACCCTCATTGACCCAAGGTTGAAAGTCCCCAAAGGATAAGGGGCAGTCAGACAAATCAGATTGATTTGCAAATGAGTGTATTTCTCGAAAACAGTCCAATTTTGGTTTAAGTAGAACATAAGGTTGACAGAAACTCGGGGACTGCGCCTACCTGATGGGCCCCAAGAAGGGCGAAACCGGTCGTGGGCTGTCGAAGAGTTTTCAGCAACTTTGTGAGTAGTTTCCTTTGTGAGAACACGGAAAACAGTTCCGAGACAAAAAAAACCGTTAAGAAAGGCATTGGGTCGCCAAATCTTTGAGAATTTTTCTCGATATTTTTTTTCATCCAATCCTGCTTTTCAGTTTGTTGGTGGGTGCTGCTGCATTGATGTCTTTCGACTAAAAAACGATGAGGAAATAACCAAGTGAGTACTACTCACTTTCTAGGCTGATCTTATTGGTTGCAGGCCTGTTTTATCCTAACAGGATTTCTTCCCGTAACAGGCTGTCAATCCAAGTGAAAGTATTTGCGTTTGTATGCGCGCGTATTCCTACAGGATGCGAAGTCTTGTCGTTTTTTTCAACTGCATCCTTGGGAACAAACGCACAAGAGATCGTCACATCAAGTTGTCCACCTGAATTTTACTGATTGGGGTGTCGCTAGAGGCCAGCCAACGTAAATTCAACCCTTGAGCTAGGGAACAACTACCGCATTCTTGGGTGTTTCCATCCAACTGGTACCAAGGCGCTGTGGCTCACGAAGCCTAAGATTCAAGGAAAGCTCGGGAGCTGATTCAAAGATGGTTGCAGTAACTGGCCACCCCCGGGTACAGAGGTCAGAAATGCTCCAGCTGTGACAAACTGAACATAGTGTAAGTTACTGTAAAGAAACACCATACCTGTTGTGTGGCAACTAATTTTGCTGTATAAAACCGACTCAATTTGAACGACAGTTGCCATGAAACTAAGAATGAAGAACAACAGAGGATTTGGAAGGAAAGCTTCGTCTTGACAATTACGGTAAATGGTTTCCACCAGATTTAAATCCGCAATACCTCCGAAGAGGTGGCATATGCTTCACTGAGAGGTTTCAGCGTATAGGTCCACGAAAGGAGTTCTATGACAGGGCTGGCATCCGAGCCGGATAGGTCGGTCAACATTCGCACAGACAATGAGTGCACGGGCGTAGTCAGTTCTGACTCAAACTGATTATTAGTACATTAATGTACGCCATTTTTATATGATTTATTACGTATATCACCTCCGAGTTCTGACAAATAGCATCTACACAATGTTAGGCTCCTTCTGAGTCTCCACTCTTTGAAATGATCACGTGAGTAAATCGCTGTTTGGTTGTAGACTAGGGGACTAAGGGAATGGGAACAAAGCTTCGAAGGCAATGGCCAAATTCGTGCATTGCATCTGTATGTAATAACTGTTTGTAACTGTTTTCTGGGCCAGTAGGGTGGTGAAACATAAGTGTTGAACGTCTGGTGGGAACACCGGATCAGCAATGCTGAAGTTCGTCGAATGGTATTCAGGAAAATTAATTCACCCTCGGTAGATGAACTGATCACACTGCATAGGGTTCATTGGCTTGGCCACGTGCTGCGTATGCCAGCTGACCGACTTCCTCGAAGGGTTCTTTTCGCACGACAACGTGAAGGGTGGAAGAGAGCCAGAGGCGGTCAAACAATGACTTGGCAGCGAAGTATGAAAGCAATTACCAGCAAACTCAGCTGCGCTGGTCACTGCCGTCTTCCTGGATGGGGACCC